TATTTTTGATCGTTTTTTTTAATTCTATGAACGTTTCAATGAAACTTGAAACCACCCAGGTCATAAAATGGTCTTCTTTAAGTCAATATTTTTTTAATGATAAGGTAACTCTGCATGATTTGTAAGTCTATATGGCGTGAGGTGTGCTTGGTGATAAATAGTGTTAATTTTGAAAGACATTTAATATAGACTTGTAATGACAATTTATATTTTTAATCGAATTGTGTATAAAATGGTAGAAGGAGATGACATTGCTATAATTGATATTTTAACGATTAAAATAAAAAAGTACCTTAGTTAACTACGCTCTGTGCTCCGATTTATAAAGAGTGTTTGGGGGTGACTACAATGCTTTGTAACGAGAAACTGAGAAATGCAGAATGCAGAAAATTGTCAAAACTATTCATAACATTCATATTGATATGAAAAGTTGAAATACGTAACAGCAAAGCAGTTTTCTCGACTAGGTGAGCATTCTTCGCACTAGTTACGTAATAGCTCTGCAAAAAATACAGACTTGTTCACTCCATTCATGGGCGGATCAGGGAAGGGCTCACTCTCCCACCCTTATCGCGTGGGTCGTATCGCTAGACTCGACCTCCCCTATTTAGCCAAGCTGTTCCATCTTGGCTTAGTCCGCTGGTCAGTCATTATTCCTACATCTTATTTCAACTGAGTGTGAATGGAAATATCGTGAATTAGTATCACCCAACTAGTGGACTAATGCAAATCCTGCATTTTGATTGGCTACGCTACTAGAGGACNATTCGTAATAGTCCTCGAGTAGCGAAATTGGCGCAATCGAGCGTGACGCTTTCTTTCGTTTTATTCCCGAATAAATATTTCTTCAACTTGCATTTGCTAACTTTATTATTGCCTTTTCTGGCCGACTAGTTGGATGATACTAAAACAATTAGACCCTTCGCCCTCAAGGGCCACGGGCCGAATGGGCTATTGACCCGTAGCCCTTTTGGGCTACGGGTCTAATTGTTAAATAGAACTTAGTCTCACGGGCGAATCCAGAATTTTTCTTAGGAGGGGGTGCACCACTAAGAAGGAAGGGCACCACTAAGGAATGGCGCAACTGACTGGTGAGGTAAACAAATTTTAGAAAGCCGCAAGTCATCTCAGAGGGGGTAGGGGGGGGTGCGCGTAGTCCCTGCACCCTCCCACTAGATCCGCCCCTGAGTCTCCCCATCGAGCGTGACTCGGAAGAATGCGCGACGAAAAAATGGCCGCGCGAAATGCGATTTCTTTCTCGCTCGACGTTCTGTGATAGGGGGGCTGTTCTTGTAGCCTAACGAGAAGGAACAGTTTAAAAGAATTTCTAAAATTTTGATAAAATGTACTCTGCCGCTTTGTGTTTTAAATGGGATCACGCACATGTAGACAATTTTGTAGAGGCACGTCACGCTCTGGCTGTGTTTAG